AGAATAGGTATTTGTTCGCCTCATCATTCTCTTCCGCTGGGGCATGGGCGCAAATGAGCGAGATGTTGCAGAATCTCGTTATGATGGGGGTTGTGGAAAGAAACTCGTGGGCTCTTTCTCTCATCACAAATCTGAAACCGAATAGGAAGAGGAAGCTTTAGTAGACGTCGCAAGACAGTACATATTAATTGGTTTAATACATAATCATAAACTACATTGTATGACAGTGAAAAAAAACTCAATACGAGACATAGCACATCTTGTAGGCTTAGTTGAGTAGTGAAAAACTGCATACATGAAATTTCAAATATACCCTCAAAATCTTCACCTATGGGCAGAAAACTGTTCTTCTTTTTGCTTATAATTTCAACATTTCTAAACCAATTGTGAATTATCATTGCGAAGCAAATAAAAAGACGCTTATAACGGTTTATAGTTTACTGCATGTCGATTTAACATGACGGCGTACTTACCTTAAATATTAAAAAAAAAATATACATTTTTACCATTTTGTGTCGATTCAATCTCAATTTGAAATGTTTTTCGATAACAAACCATAAATAACTGCTCACAAATTATAAAACTACATTTAACCCTTAAATAGGCGCATCGAGAAAATCACACAATTAGTCGCATGGGGTCACGAGTGACCCCAATACAAGTGTTGAAATAAAAAGTTTTACAAATAAACAAAACGAAGTGTGTATTATCAAAAATATTAAAGTAATCTACTATCGTTAACTTAAAAAAAAAAACCGAAACATAATTTCGACTTAAAAAAAAATATATATATAAACTTACCTCCGCTTACGTGCTTAATGCTATGTTAGTGGTAGCGTGGGTACGCGACAATGTTCTAGCCGTGACTAAATAAATAAAATGAAATGTGTATTGTCACTCTTTATTATAGTTAACTTTAAGAAAGAAAAGCTTAACTTTGGCTTCGAACTTACATACAAAAATAAAAACTTACCTCCGCCAAAAAATGTTATGTAAGTGGTCGCATGGGGTCAGGACTTAAGTGAGTAGCGACACAAGTGTACACGCCGATGTTCTGGCCATAATTTTCGTACCTGGCGGGAGCTAGGAAGCTGGAAAAAGGGCGAGCGCGGTCCAAGCGCCCCATGAAATTCTGTTTGCAACTTGAAATGACCTTGACCCCATGCGTCTAATTGAGGGTTAATTGTTATTTGAATGTGATACTCCACTTATATATACGATTAACTTTGACTTCAGAAATCAACTTTGAAAGCTTTTACAATTGCCGTTTCTGACGTTTTTATTTCACAATTATTCTCTAAATTATTGGAAAGTGTAGAATGTGTTCTTAGTTGGGAAATTTTTTCGATATACATATGTACATATTTAAGAGAAAAAATGTGCGATAAACAAAATAATGTTTGTTATATTTGAAGGGGTTATAATCAAAAGGATCCAAGTAGGTCTGACATTGTTTTGAGATAATTAAGGTTAAAGTTGATTACTTATTGTAAATTCTGGGTAAATGCATTTGAAATGATTCTTCCCTGGCCAATATATGGCACTACATACAATATCCGAAATGACTTGGATCACTTTGTCACTAAATAAATACTATATTTAACTATACAAATATGAGTATAACATATATTGTCAAAAATGTCACTTAGATCCTTATGATTCTAACCCCTTCATTTGTGGATTGCTAACAGATAAGCAGCATACATAGGTTAAAATTTGCAAATAATAAAGCATTGGTTGATGTTTACACCATGTGTTTTAACCGTACGTTTATTAAAATTCAGAGGTATGAACCAAAATACGTATTTGTACTTAGCAGTGCATCTGTAACAAAAACTTCAAATACAAAGTAACAAAAACTTGGAAAAAAGGAAGATTCCCATTTCCAGTTCCAATGCTATGGTACTACAGGAAATACCACTCACAAAAAAAACTGTTAGTTTTGTTTAACAAACTTTTGTGGACACAAATCTAAAACACAACATCTTGTGCAATATCCTAATGTTAAATCCGTAACGAAGCCTATATCGGTCATTAACAAAAACCGATACCGAACGAGTAGGTATCGATACTTTAAATCCTATATTTTTCCGGTATCGATACCTTCTTCCGATACTGCTTCCAAGTAAATTATTGTAAGAAATGTATGTGAATAATGAATACTAGTGTTGTATAACATGCAAGCAGAAACAAGTACTAAAGTAAGATACATATATTAATAATGATGTAAAGAGTAAGAAGTAATAAAGGCAGTCTATGTTGAGCTGTACTCGGAAGCGATTGTGTTTATTTGCTCTTCCTTCGCGTATTGTATAGGTATCGAAACCTGCATGGTATCGTTTCATCCCTAACTACGCTGCAAGGAAGAAATACTTAGAAACATTGGGTATGGGACACATAAATGGCAAGTGGTCAGTGATTTAAAGGTATTATCAATTTTAATGGGAATGTAAGGTGGATAGGAGGAACAAATGCACTCATGATACCACTGATACCACCAGAAAAAATTATATTGTCCATCTCAAGCTTGGTTACATGAAACAATTTGTCAAAAAACTCAATACTGACAGCCACGCTTTTCAATACCTTCGAGGTATATTTCCTAGGCTTAGCGAAGAAAAAATTAAAGAAGGTATTTATCATATTCTATCAAACGAGGATACTATATATAGTAAATCTTCAACCTTAGCGATATTTGTTGGACCACAATATCGCAAGGTAATGAAAGATGAACATTTTGCATCTAAATTAAGGCCAGTTGAAAAAAAAGCATGGGACAGCTTCATTTGCCTAACCAAAAATTTACTTGGCAATAAAAGAAGTGCAAATTACGACAACGTCGTTGACGAGTTTCTTAATGGATATTCTGAAATGGGGTGTAATATGTCAATCAACATTCATTTTCTACAATCACATTTAAGTTATTTTCCTGAGAATTGGGTCAGTTAAGTGACGAAAAAGGTGAGAGGATGTATCAGGAAATGGATGCGGTAGAGAAAAGATTTGAGGGTTAGAAATTGAGCATGCCAGCGGACTATTGCTGGTCTCTGATAAGAGAAACATGCGACGATACATTTTTTTTGCTCTTCTTAATATATATTCTTTAAAATGATCAATTTTAATATTGATTTTTAAATTGAATGTGAAACATATATATATTAGTGGAGTATCATATTACAATCTAATTTAAATGTAGTTTCATAGTTTATTTGCAGCTATTGACGGTTTCGTATCGAAAACCCTTTCGAATTGAGATCGAATCGAAAGAAATCTGTAAAAATTATTATAATTTTTGAATAATTAAGGTAAGTACGCCATCTCTTTATTCAGTGGCGGACCCAGGTAGGGGAAATTGGGGAAATTTCCTCCCCCCCCAAGACTGTGTAACATGTATTTTCTTAATATTCAACTGAATATCGTGAAATATCATTACAAGAATATATAATAGGTTTGTCCCACAAGCTACTTGTAGAAAAACTCGAGCAAAGTTCAAACTGTGAGCGTATATCAAAGAAACTCGAAAACTTACTTGCGGAGCGCGTATATAGTAACTCGAAGTGACTTCGAGAAGCTTGGGGAGCAAACCTAATGAATGGATGCTTTTGAAAATTTTAATTCATGGAAAAAGTGTGTCAAATTTCACTTGAGTTTGAAATTTTAGCTGTGTGCTAAGCTCGAAGTATTATTTTATTTAAGTAGGCCTATCAGTTTTTCCAATTCACTGAATTTTCATTATTTTAAAATTATGTACTTAATTTTCAATTTTTACTTTTCTTGTTATATTTTCGAATTTGTATTATTTGACACCGTTGAAAGTCGCAGCAAGTTTGAATATTTTCACATGTTCAGAAAACAACAAAAATTAATATTATTAAATTTCTTGAGATTTCTTATTTTTGGGGTAATTTCAAAAACTATCTAAATCCGGGAGATGCTAGAAATTTTGGTAAAATGAGAATATTTTGAAATGTACAAAATTATTGAGATTTTAGAAATTTTTATATTTTCCAAAATTTTGAAAATTTTATTTATCCTAAAATCCATCCTAAAATGTAAAAATGTGAAACATCACAAATTGTCGAAAAATTCATGGTACTTGTGTGTAAAAAATAGAAAATTCTTAGAATTCTAAAAGATATTAACATTTTTGAAAAATTCCAAAATTTTTCCACTTTTCGGAACTTTTCCAAAATTTTGTATTGATATAACAAAGTTTGAGAATTTTAAATTTTTTGAAAATTTTGAAAACATCAACGTCCAAAAATTTTTTGAATCTTCAAGAATTACGAAAATTTTTTAAACTTTCAGAAACGACAAAATATGAAAATATTTTCAATATTCGAAAACTTTTAATTTCGTTTGATCAATTTTGTATATTCGACACTTTTGCTTAAAAAAAATTTGTTAGAATTCCTACAATTCTCAAAATCTAGTATTCATCATTATATTGAATTATTGTGATTTACTAAAATTTCTCAAATTCACAAAGTTTTGAAAGTTAGAAACTTCAAGAAATTCAAATCTATCAAAACTAAAAATTTTAAATTGCGGTGATTTTTAAATTTATATACACGATATATGTTGAAATTTTCGCCCCCAAGAATTGCTGTGGGGCCGCCCCTGCTTTATTCCGAAATCCGGTAAGCTACATAGTACCTTTATGAGCGTATTTTTATTCACACAGCATTCCAAGTTTTTTGACTTTTTTCAATTTTGTTACATAGTGTATTATAAAATCTCAACAAAAAATTTAGTTTTTCATTTTAATTTTTTAGGAAACATTATCATTCGTTTAGATGTTGTTCGATAAAATAATAAATAAATTTTAATCAAGAAGTAGGGGTTAATATAATTGCCATAATATTAGTTTCACATAATTAAAGATAACAAATACCATACACAATAAGGCAGGTACAGAGCTTACCTTGCTTATCTACCTCGCAACCATCATATATGGATCTTTTTTATTTACAGATCTTTCTTTTTTCTATTTATTTTAGTTCGAATGCGATTTCATTCGTGAAAATATTACGAGTACTTCGCGTTCTAAGGCCTCTGCGTGCCATTAACCGCGCCAAAGGACTAAAGGTAAGCAAAACATGTGTCAATTATGTTCTAAGTACATAAATATACTCAATATTTCATATAAAGTACTACAAATCATTTGATTATTTAAATATTAATTATATATATTTCTTTATTTTCTATAAATTGCTATAAGATATTTAAATAAGGAATACTGGGATCCATGAATGTTGGCAATTGCGTATTTTGAAAAATTTTATTCTTTTATTCATGCGCACTCAACTGTCTGAAAAGTTGTCAATAAAGTCATAAACGAAGTAAGCTCCCGTGTTGTCACTTTAGAAACAAAATTAGTGGTAGTTTATTAATAAAAACTGTGGTAGATCTCTAACAAATTGTGGTAGAATATATGTAAATATTAAACACATTTGTATACTTTCGATTTCTCAGGCGATGTTCATGCACGCAATAGACACTTTGAAAAGCTTGGCAGTAGCTACGGCTCTTCAACTAACACAATATCCACAATATTTTTCATTACTCTTAAATTCATATTGAGGAGAACAGCTAATTTATGACAACAACATTTTGGAAAATTAGGTTAATAATTTTATCTCCGTAAAATTGTGGTAGTTGTTTAAAATTTGTGGTAGTTGTGGTATTTACACTGAAGGAAAAAAATATTAAAATCAAATAGAAACGGAATTGATCTTACTATAAACGTCAACGAAAGTACTGTATATTGGTAAATATTCAATTCAATTACGCGCATATTAAAATGACCGCGTTCGTTCTGAAAAAGCATCCGTGAAGTTAATAATCAAGACAAAAACTAAAAAAAAAATATTTAACTTGCATGTAGCCTGCAGAGGAATTCGAACCCTGACCATCTCCGGATATCAACAAATTGTGGCATGCATCTTTGCGCACTCAGCTACACCCAGGCATATAAATTTGCTTTCAAATGTTGAATATCCATCAACAGCACAGCACGCGATTTCTACGGCTAAACATGTACTTTGTATGAATGTATGTGTTTTCACCGCTCTCAGAGCGGCGCTCTGCATGCTTGGGGTGCGTATGTACAGTCATATATATACTCAGATGTGAACAGTCAAATACGCGCGTAATAAATTTTGTATGAAAATATTATTTTTAAATACGAACGTTTTTAAAAGATAATCAAATATAAAGTATTCATTTTTACTATGCATTATTTCCCTCAGTGTAGAGCTAAAAAACTATCCAAAATATGATAGATCTACCACTATTGTGATAAAGTGGCAACACTGGTTTGTTCACTAAAATTTCTTGACCAATTTGCGAGGTCTTAATTTTTTAATGATCATCGCCGGAAGTTTACAAGGCACAAATTCGCGATTTTTATGAGATTTAAAGGCCATTTGCGAGCTTTCGTGAGTACCCCTAATATTATATCACACATACATATGTGAAAAAAGTGAAAAGAAAACTTTTTTCATTAAATATAAAATTAAAACCTTTTATCTCACTTCACATGTGGGACAATTGTGATGTTATTTGTACATGGATGAAAACATACATATGTATGTATGTATTGTAAGTGACATATTTATAGCGCTTATTGTTAGGATTACTTATTATAATTATAAATGTAAGCGTGATATTATTTACATTTATTTATGTACCTATTTTGAGATACACATCTTTAAAGTTTATTGTTAAGTTGAAGTCTTCAAGAGAAAAATACAAGTAACTATCGGGAAATAATACTTAATATACTTAAATATGTACACATGTATTTTGCAAAGCGTTTTTTCACTTACCTTACGTTTACATTGGAGAAGACAATTGAGAATATGTATTAAGTAGTTGTCAAATTGTAAATTCAATTAAAAAGACAATACACTGTTAAGCAACTGCTGTTAGTGTCCTTTGGCGTGCATTTCGTATAACTTACTATAATATCAAAACCCAACAAAAAGTTCCTTATTGTGCGATTTTTTGCGATGATGTTTTGCTTCTTTTTCGCAAATTGACCATTGTCCAATATGCATATAGCAACTGGAGTATCTCCGAATTGTACCGTTGCGTGATATGGACAGCTTTATACTTTCACTCAAGAATATAGTTTCCTTTTGTTAGAGTCCCCCATGAATGATTGCCGGCGGGACGTTTTTCCCTTTAACCATTGTCCAATATGCATATAGCAATTGGAGTATCTCCGAATTGAACCGTTGCGTGATATGGACAGCTTTATACTTTCACTCAAGAATATAGTTTCCTTTTGTTAGAGTCCCCCATGAATGATTGCCGGCGGAACGTTTTTCCCTTTAACCAGGGCTTCATAATCAAAAAGAAAATACAGATTAATGCACACATTTACTGTGTTAACCACTTCCCCACAAGTGATGTTGAGGAGGTCTGAACTGCTTCGACTGCAAGCCCGGGCATCAATACAAAATGTAGTCAATTGATTCCTCCTGGGTCTCATCACAGTACCTTGTGTAGAGGAACTTTTTTGTTGCCATCGCTTGAGCATCGGTGCAAAAGCAAGTGCCCGGTGATGCCACAGGTGAAAACTATTTCTGCAGAACTGTTGAGTTTCAAGATATGTTCAGTTTTTCCAGTTGTACCGCGGCCATATTGGCCATTACACCTCACAATCTTTTATTTTTGCCCGTAAGTCACTATTGAGGGCTATGGTGTATTCGTAAATTTTCTGGCTATGTTCCCCGAAAAGTGGTTGTACTGAGTTGTTTACCCCGTTTGTTAACTTCTCAGAGATATAGATATAAATACCTGATCATCAGGGCCGAAGAAAATAAGCAAGAAAAAAAACAATTAAGCGCTTTGATAAGCACTAAAACATTGGTAAATATGCTGCAAATATGCTTGTAAAACAACAAAATTGAGCGTACAGTTTAATGTTTTTATTCAGTTTATTTCAAGGATTGAAAAATTACAATGTACAATCAAGTGTTGCTTGATATTCTCATAAAATAAAGATCCGCGCTGGTCGTTTTAATTTTTTTTTTATATTCGTTATTCTTCATTTGAGATAAATTGTTTTTAATCTTTTCAATAACACCAATGCCTTCCCGTGGAGACAAACCATTGGTTTAAAATTTTTGTACCCAAGCAGAAATGCAATTGAGGTTTCGGGTTAATAAAAACCAAATCTGTTTTTATGTTATTATTTGTAAACATTTCGACGAATAAAAAAACGCCAAAGAAATGGTCAGGAAAAATTTATTGAGTCAAATTTTCTTAAGCAGTACGAAGTTCTTAATAAATTTGCTATGCTTTCTACTATGGTTTGCTAAAGTTTGTTTGTGAAGAGTACAAAGTACCCTTGTTTTCGACAGAAATATATGCCCATTCCATTATTTCGGAAGGAAAAGTGAGACAGCAGGCTGTAAAATATCAGATGTCAAAACTCCTTGGACACTACTACTCACACACACGAAATACTTAATAGCAATTTATTTCTTGACCGTTTTCTTAAAAAAACCGTACTTAGCTTTATGCATTGAAATAACCAAAATAAGCATGATCGTTAAAATTAAGCTTGAATAAGCACCCTGGAAACCCTGCAAGCAAAAGCCTAAACTTTTCGGTCCTGCTGATCATCTAATCAGCTACTTCATTTATTTCGATATTGTTATGTTCGAAGTACGAACACAGAAATAGCTGCGTTCCAGCAGCAGTACGATTTGCAGGAATTTACAGGATTTTACAGGAAGCTGTTCCCGCACGACACCTTACATAAGGTTTATTAATGGCGAAAACAGCTGTTCCTGTAAATCCTGTAAAATCCTGCAAAACCTGCTATTCGTACCGCTGCTGGAACGCAACTAAGGCGACGTTGGGATGGCCTAATGATGCCAACGCAGCAAGGAATTTCTGTACAATCCCCAATTGAGTAATTTGGATCATTTTGCTTTTGAAGCATTTTTCGGCTGAAACCTTGCCCAGCATGGATGACGGTAAAGCTTTTATTAACTGATTCGCAGAACCTCCGAGTAGAGATCGGCGAAAAGAACGATCTGCATTTTACTTGAGCTTACACCAAATTTCGGCCAATTAGCTTTGAAATTGAGCTGGTGAGCGCGGAGTAATTGCGCATATTAGTAATTGCTGCACATTAGGGCAAAGAACGAAATGTAACTTTTTATTACAAAAAGTAATGCTATTTTTCTTCACAAATGATTTGCTATTTTTTTTATATGGAAGGCCTTAAAAACTGCTATTCTTTAACGAAAGAAATAAATTAAAGAAAACAAATGTTAATTACACTACTCAAAAATTTTTGATCAACTTTAATCACCAAGAATGAAACAAAACTTTTCTAACGTAGAATTATATCCCGATTCCGAATATCACAATGGTTTCTCTGGGTAAGACCTAGTTTCTGAGATATCAGTGAAAATATAGAAAAACCCATAGTTGCAACACATTACATCACATATTTTCATCGAAAAGTTGTATTTGCCATCATTTCGGTTTATATCTGGGAGTGATTTGTAAAGGAGACTCCAAAAAAAGTTGTTTGCCTTCATAGTCATAAATCACACAAGTGGTTTGGTCACTATAGTAAAAAACATGCAGAAAATTAGAAAAAAATCGTTAATTTTTACAAAGTTTCAGATTATACCGCCTTCAATTCAGAAAAAGTGTTCGGAGGAAAAAAATATGCCCCCTATGCTGAAGAGATTTCTATTACAAAAAGCATACTAATGGAGCTATAGGATATATTTTCGATTTTATAGTCCTAGTTTTATGAAAAGTACATAACTTAAAATTTTCTTATACATAAGACTTTTGAGTAAAATTGTATACACATTTTTATAATTTTTTTTAATTTTATTAAAAAACAGCATTTAACATTCTTTGTCCATTCTTTACACACGTATATACATATGTAGAATCACAAACGATCAAGTGATACAATAGGCTCAAGGTTAGGTCA